TATTTTCAGTAGATACTTGTTGAACTGCTAATACCCCATCAGTAACTTTTTCACGAATAAAGAAGTGCTTAATAGCTATGTGTTTAGTACGACTGTTAAACTCTGGATTCTCGCTTAATCTTCGTGCTGCAGCATTATCGACTTCAATAATGGGAAGTCGTTTGAGAGGTACGACATCTTTGAATAATCTTGAAAGCCAAATGACTTCTTTAGCAGCTTCACTTGCTGCGATGATTTCAGCTTCAGTAGTAGAAGTAGCCGTTACAGGTTGCCTTCGACTCAACCATGAAATCACCCCGTCTGCGTACTTGATTACAATGCCAGAAGTGGAGCGACCAGTCTTTGAGCATCCGTCATAATCAGCATCACTGTAAGATTCAAGAATACCTCTTTTCTTATTATAAAAATAGGTTATCCCTTTGGTAATTGTGCCTGCTATGTAGCGAAAAACTCGTTTGACTCTGAGGACATCTTCAAATGATGGATTTTCAAGCGATCTTGATAAATATCCAACGCTGAAGGCTAGATCAGGTCGCGTCCCGAGCATTAGATACATCAAAACACCAACAGCTTGTCTATAAGGAAAATTATGCGTCTTAGAATTTTCTTTCCCTGGTTTGCACATCTCTGAAGCCTTCAACATAGGCGTTGAAACTGGTTTGCAATCTGTAAAATTGAAACGTTCAAGAATATTTTTAGCAAAAGCTTGTTGACTAATGATTAAGCAATCATCTTTCTGCTCAATTTCCAATCCTAGAAAATATGAGGCGTCTTGAGAAGTAATCTTGAATTATTGACTCAAATCTTGTAAGAATTTCTTCAAATCTTGAGAATCTGTGGCAGCAACTAGTCCGTCATCTACATACAGAGCCATTACGATTTTGTTATCTTCTTTCCTTATGAACATACATGGATCTGCCTCACTAACTTTGAAACCAAGACTAATAAGATAACTGCCAAAACGTTTGAACCAGCATCGTGGAGCTTGTTTCAAACCGTACAAATTTTTTTGAAGTTGACATACTTTACCAGAGCCATCGTTGTAGCCGTCTGGTTGCTGCATGTAGATAACCTCTTCAAGGTCACCATACAAAAATGCCGTAGAGACATCAAACTGGGTTAAATGCATTCGCTCGTTTGCAGCTATGCTTAGAATAGAACGGATGGTTCCCATCCTTGCCACTGGACTGAAGGTTTGACTGTAGTCGAAGCCGTATCGCTGCCTGAAACTTTTTATAACCAACCTCGCCTTGTAGCGACTGATTGACCCATCTGGATTGGTCTTCACTCAATAAACCCACTTACATGGAATTGCTTTTGCCCCTGGTGGCAAATCTGTCATTTTCCATGTCTTGTTTTCTTCTAGCGAAGCCATTTCACTATCCATGGCTTGCTTCCATTGAACACTTTCCCTGCTTGAAAGAGCTTCATCATATGATTGTGGGCTTTCGTAGTACTGACAATATGTTCAGCGGTTTCTAGAACATGTGCGTATTCACGTAAGTAACTCGGCTTTCTAAGCTTCGAACGATCCCTTAGATTCCTTGTAGGTAATGGCAGAGGCGGCTCCGACTCTTGCTCATCTTCAGTTGTAAACTCGAAATTAGTGTTCTCTGACTCGTATTCAACTGGCTCTTCTGCAGGATCATCAACAGGGACCTCACGATTTGGCTCTTCTTCGCGTACAACAGGACTTTCCTCACTCTCATTGAATTTGTCCTTCTGAAAAAGGCAATCTTTCAATGGCAATTTGACTTCACTGTCGCAGCCTGTGATCAACTCGCGAAATTGAACGTCTCTTGAAACAGCTACTCTATGCTGCTCTTTAATGTATATTCTGTATCTCTCATCGCGATCGTAACCTATCAAGTAACCTTTGACAACTTTTACGTCCATTTTTCTCCTTTTTTGATCGGGTACATGAACATAATATGTCAATGCAATGATACGCAAGTGCTTAATTCTAGGCTTACTTCCAATCCACAGCTCGTAAGGACTCACTCCTTCTATGGATGACTTGCCCATTCGATTCAAAATATATGTAGCTGTAACTACTAACTCTGCCCATATAGCTTCGGGAAATTGCACTTCAGGATTGGAGTACTTGAATGTTCGTGCCATCTCAACGATAGTACGATTTTCTCGTTCAACGTCTCCGTTCTGCTGCAGTGTGTAAGGCGCTGTCACTCTTTGCATGATTCCATTTCTCTCGAGAATGGAGTGAACCTCTTTGTTGTCGAACTCGCCACTGTTGTCACTCATAAGCTCTTTGATTGAATGACCTAGCTGTTTTGCATGAACAATCACTGCTTCTACAGCATGTTTGACGTCCGACTTCTCTCTTAACAGGTAAACGTAACGAAACTTAGTATACATGTCTTTGAAAATAGCCATATACTTTTTTTTATTAAAAGACTCATCAAAAGGACCACATAAGTCTGTAGCAATCAGTTCTCCAGGTTTATTCGCCTTTCTCCTGGTACCGAATGACAAACGATGTGCCTTACCGTAAATGCATGATTCGTAAATATCTCGATTTAACTTAACAGTAATGCCAAGCTCCTTTTGCAATAAAGTTTTCACGTGCTGTTTGTCTTGATGTCCCCATCTCTCGTGGTACAACTGCAGTTGAGAGCTTTCTGCAACAGCTACGTACATCTTTATGTCGTCTGTTGGCGAAATTGGCTTGATTGCAGCTTTGAACAGCGTTCCGTGAACATTGCGGACTCCGCTCAGCAATACTTTGCTATCAACTTTGAGTGAGCACTGTGTGGCCGTTGATTCGAAAATGCTTTTTCTATTTTTATCCTGAGCTGCTAAAACAGAAAACAAATTCTTTGAAATATCGGGAACGTACCACACGTCATTCAACGTTATTATAAACTTCTCGTTGTTGACTGTAGACACGACTTTAACTGTGCCTTTTCCGACGGCCTTTAAAAATTGATTGCCAGCTGCCTTGATACCGCACAAATTATCAAATTCTTTAAAATCTATAAAGAAATAAAAATTATTTGTCACGTGTCTCGTTGCACCGTAGTCAATATACCAATCGACTCGGTCGATCTCAGCACTGAAAATTTCTTCTGAGACTGACAATATAAAACCTCCCTTAACCTCAACAAAATTACTTTAATTTTTGTTTTGGCCTTTTTGAGATTCGTTAGCTGTTCGACTCTTGGGTGGGCGTCCATCAGCAATCCATTGCCTGCATTCAGCGACCCAATGGTTCTTCTTGCCACAATAATTGTATGTTGTGCCCGCTCTTGACTTCTTTTTCACGTCGTGCTTTTGCTTTTCCGCTTTCGCAACTAAAGCTTCTTGTGAAAATTTCTCACTGCTAGTATTTTTCTTGAAGTTTCTTTCGAACATACACAACTGTGTAGTTAACTCGTCAAATGTCTTCTCAGTATCTTTTGTCAACATCATCCAACTGGACTTAAACGTTTCAAACTCAGCAGGTAAAATATTTAATGTTTTACACACTAGCATCAAGTCCGGTAACTTGTTTTCTTTCCGAGCTTGAAGACCATTGTTGAGTTCACTCCAGAGACTTCTCATCTTTGCTAGATGCGTAGAAACATCCTAGCCTGACGTCCAACTAAAAGCGAAAAACGCATCACTTATGTGAAATAATTGATCTTTCGTTGTCGCATCGAACTGCTGTTGAAGCGCTTCCCAGGCTTCGCGCGCTGTTTACTTGTCCAAAATCTTTTCGTATACAGCGTCTGTAACTGAGCTTGCAATCATAAATTTTCCGTAGCTATTTGCCTTATGATAAAATGCCACCTTTTCTTTGTGAGCTTTCTTTTCAGCATCATTTACACTGTCAGTAAAAGCTTCGGGCTGCGTTACTTTGTTGTCTATAACATCTAACGCCCCTTCATGATAGTCGAGCAAATCGCGAATCTTTCGCTTCCACACCGGCCAGTCTACCTCGCCAGTCAGAGGTTTGATGTGCTTAGCCAAATCCATGTCTAGGCTATTCTGCGATATTCGGGTACATAGTTTAAGCGTCTGTGCCCATAACCTAATACAATAAGTACTCGAAAACTCAGATATAAGTTTTAAGAATGAAAAACGTTTTTATTTATTAGAACAACATATTGTGTCTTGTTGCTTTGACGTTTGTTTTCGATTGATTGACTTTAGGTTTTGTTTTATAAAAAAAAAAGCGTGTATTTGTGTTGTCAAGGTAATGACTTCAATCAATTGTCTTTAAGAATAAATTAACATTCGAAACTTTAACTTTAACACTTCTCCCGTTCCTCATCCTATCGCAGCTTTCTAATCAACACTTTGCTAGCTAAAGTTCACATGTAAACAACGTCGGTCCGATCAGGTGTTCCCCAGTCTGGAACACTGAATGCAATTTCGAATTTATTTTTGTATTGTGGTGTCCCACGCGAGGTCGCTACGGACACCACTCGGACGCCTGTGCCTTCAGCAGTGCTAACATCCACGCAGCGGGGAAATGGCTGTGGTGGCGCTCAGGTGCTGGAGGAGAAGACAGCAGCTCATGAGGCTGATCGGAGCAAACCTTCCCTTCTCCTTCCGGACGTCGACCAGCGAACTCTCGCTCTCGCGCACGCAGTCGGGTCGATTATTACAATTGCCTCGTGGCAATTCAGTTTTGTAATTCCGCTCGTTTTCGACTTTGATTTTGTGTTCCGTCCTGTTGGAAATCTCTAATAATAATAAATATTGTAATTCTACCCAGTTCACGCCTATCTTCATTTCTGTTCCAACCGCTTGAAGAATTACTAAATTGGTAACCCCGACGTGATTTTCAACTGGATAAAAAAAAAAAAGAAACGACAATTATCTTTCTTTTTAAGAACCCGTAAGTACTTCTGTGAGAGCGTGACCTGAGAAGTGTACCTTCCGAGTGAGTGCCGAAAACCGTAACCACGGAGAGAACGCCGCCGGTCTCCGAGAGGCGACAGAGACAACGATCTCTCGCCGATCTGAGTACTCTGTCTCGTGACGAGAGCCCACCTATGTCGGATCCTCCTCCGCTCAACCTCTCCTCCGATATGGCCGCAGGGCCCAGCAACGCAGCTGCTAATCTGAATCCGTCAGATCCGGCCAAGGTCGAGGTTGTTCGCCACGTAGCGGTACGCACTCCGCCGTTTTTGAAAGGCAATCCTGAGGCATGGTTCATCCAATTGGAGTCGGTTTTTCAATGCCACAACATCCGTTCTGACCTTCAACGATACCATGCCGCCGTCGCGGGTCTAGACAGCGAAACCCTGCAAGATTCGCTTGACGTGCTCCAAAATCCACCGAGCACAGGTGCGTACAACCATTTGAAGGAGCAGGTCATTCGGCGTTACGGTGACACGGCAACCAAGCGCTTGCATAAGCTCTTCTCCGGACTTACCATGGCGGATCGCTCGCCGTCGCAACTGCTCCGACGTATGCGCGCTCTCGCCGGAGGAAGTGTCGGCGATGATGCCATTCGCGTACGTTGGCTGGATCTGCTTCCTACTACTATCTCCAGAATGCTGCGCGTGGTGCCCAACGCTACGCTGGACGATCAGGCCCTGACCGTTGATGAGTTGTGGGAGACGAGTCCTGACGTCTGTGCAATTCAACGGCCCGTTCCAACGCCCCCAGCACCAGAGGTTGTGCAAGCTACGCCCGATGCCATCGCGGCCGAATTAGCCGCTTTGCGAGCCATTGTTTCGCAGCTTGTAATTACGAGTGGTCGCATTCTGGATCGCCTGCCAAATGCCAGTGGCCGAGCAAGATCCCGCACACGTGCCCGCTCAACAGGCTCGAGAACTTCTGGAGCAGCTGCAGCTTCGTCGGCAAATCCGTCTTGGTGCTACTACCACCAGCGGTTCCAGGCGAACGCGGAGCGTTGCCGACCGCCATGCGGCTATCCAGCCAACAGGTCGACAAACTAGAGGCGCTGCCGCACGTTTTGGCGGTACACGTTAGCGCTTCTCTACCGCCTTCCGACGTCCGTCTGCACATCCATGAAAGCTCGCTCGGCTGTGCCATGCTCGTCGACTCCGGGTCAGTGATGACCTTGCTGCCCCGACATCTTGTTACTGGTCCGTTGACACGCAGCGGCTTGCAACTGATCTCGGCGAATGGGACCCCTATCGCCACTTACGGCAGGCGATTACTCACCATCACGCTGGGCCTTCAGCGTGACTTCCAGTGGCCGTTTACCGTCGCCGACGTACCGGTACCTATCCTGGGAGCGGACTTTCTAAACCACTCTGGACTGTTGGTGGATGTGCGCCGGCGCCGCTTGTTCGACCCGAGCACCGCCCAGGAGTCCGTTGCACAGTTGCGGAAGGCCATAATCCACGGAGTAGCTACTATTGCCGACACTGCCGACTTACCGCACCGAGCCACCTACGATGGCCTGCTCGCCGAGTACGCCGATCTCGCCGAGCCCTCGGAGAAGGGCGCCTCTCTTCAAGGCACTACCGTGGTGCACCGAATCGTCACGACTGGTCCTCCCGTCTTTGAACGCCCACGTCGGCTGACGGGCGAACGCTCGGCTGCTGTCAAGGACACCATTAAGCGCCTCCTGCGACAACGTGTCGTCCGGCCATCTTCCAGTCCTTGGGCGAGCCCTTTACACCTCGTGGCGAAGGCCACTGGAGGCTTCCGAGTCACGGGAGATTTTCGACGCCTCAATGCCGTCACGATGCCGGACCGATATCCGCTGCCGGTCATTGAGGACCTCCTGGAGGAATGCGATGGGTGCTCCGTGTTCTCCGTTGTCGACCTGCAGGAGGCTTATTTTCAGGTACCCATGGCTGCCGAGGATATTGCAAAGACTGCAATCACGACTCCTTTCGGCCTGTACGAATTCCTGCGCATGCCTCCCGGCCTCAGGAATGCATCACAAACCTTCCAACGGTTCATGGACTCGCTGCTGAGGGACATGCCGTTCGTGCGGAGCTACCTCGACGACTTATTCGTGCGATCCTCGTCTCACGAGGAGCACCAGCGGCACTTACGTCTTCTTTTCGACCGACTAAGGGAAGCCGGTCTGTCCTTCAAACTGGAGAAATGCCAGCTGGGACTTCCCCGCGTTAATGTCCTCGGATATGAGGTCTCTGCTGGCGGTATCAAGCCACCAGAGAGGAAAGTCGCGGCCATTCGCGACTACGCCAAGCCCAGGTCGCCCAGAGCCTTGCGACGGTTCCTGGGCATCGTCAACTTCTACCGCAGAAGTCTACCGCATGCTGCTCATATCCAGGCTCCGCTAAACGAGCTCCTTCGAGGCTTACCCAAAGGAAGCCGACGATCCTTGGCCTGGAATCCAGGAGCGGAGCGAGCCTTCGAAGACGCCCGACGCAGTCTAACCAAGGCTGTCGAAACCACCTTCCTGTCGCCGACTGCGTCTCTCCGTCTCGCCACGGATGCATCGAGCTCTGCCATCGGTGCCGTACTTGAACAATGCCCCCACGGGCGCGGGGAGTGGCAACCAATTGGCTTCTTTTCCCAGAAGCTTACGCCTGCCGAGACCCGATATAGCACCTATGACCGGGAACTACTCGCCGTCTTCCGTGCGGTGCAGCATTTTCGACGCATCCTGGAAGGTCGCCCCTTCACGGTACTTACGGACCATCGTCCGCTGACCTTCGCTGCCTGTCAACCGTCTACGAAGGCGTCTCCGCGCCAGCAACGACAACTGGACTTCCTGCTGCAATTTGACGTCCAGCTTCAACACGTCAACGGCTCGGACAATGTCGTAGCAGATGCACTTTCCAGGACGCTCGAAGACACCACGCCGCTCAACGCTCCTGCCGAACCTTGCCTCTCTCCATCGCTCTCAGCGCAGGACGCCGTCTGTGCCACGGTCGACATGCCGACCACTCTCAGCCCAGAGGCAATAGCCAAGGCGCAAGCTTGCGACGACGAGCTGCCGGGTATTGCCGAGAGCAGCTCTCTGATTCTCCAACGCCTGCACATCAATGACGTAGACCTGCTGTGCAACGTCCACGATGGACGGGTCCGACCATTTCTACCACGCTCGCTTCGCACCGCTGCCTTCAACCCGGTACATGGTCTGAGCCACCCGGGAATTCGCGCAACAGTCCGCTCCGCAGCGGAACGCTTCGTGTGGCCTGGCATACGACGCGACGTCACTCATTGGGCGCGCAGCTGCCTGCAATGCCAGCGCGCCAAGGTCTCCCGGCACAATCGCGCGCAGCTTGCCACTTTTCAGGAGCCCAATAACAGATTCGAGCACGTCCACGTGGACCTGCTTACGCTGCCATTGGTGGGGAATTACCGGTACTGCCTCACGATGATAGACCGGTTCACCAGATGGCCTGAAGCAGTACCACTCGAAGACATGACCGCGCAAACCGTCGCCAAGGCCTTCTTATCTTCCTGGATTGCCAGCAAGGGCTGTCCTGCTACGATCACCTCAGATCAGGGGACACAGTTTGAGTCCGCCCGCTTCTCAGCGCTCACTCACAATCAGATCTCGGGCACGACCAGAATACACACCACGCCATATCACCCCCAGGCGAATGGCATGGTGGAAAGATTCCATCGCACTCTTAAAGCGGCATTAAGGTGCGCACCAACTCCTTGGCCTGAAGCCTTGCCGCTAGTGCTACTTGGGCTGCGTAACTCCCTCAAGGAGGACCTACAAGCGTCACCAGCGGAGATGACCTTCGGCACCACACTTCGTCTTCCTGGCGATTTTTTCATCTGCAACAACCCGCCTGCAGATCCTTGTTCCTTCGTTGGTCGACTACGCGCGACTATGAGGGCCCTAGCTCCTGCGCCTGCCACGGACCACTCGCTCCATCGACCGTTCGTCTTCAAGGACCTAACCACCTGCTCGCACGTGTTCCAGCGAGTTGATGCTGTGCGGAAGCCGCTCGAGCCGCCTTACACTGGGCCGCACAAAGTCGTTCGACGCGTCAATGATAAAGTGTATATCATTAACGTCAACGGCACCGATAGGGCAATCTCCACTGACGCTCTCAAACCGGCGCACCTCAGCAAGGCCACTGCTGATGCACTAGCATCACGCTCAATCTCTGATGCACGCCCAGTTTCTCCGCAGTCTCCGCAAGCACCTACAACTGATGTGCTCTCACCGAGCCCTCTACAAAAGCCAGCAGAAGCCTCGTCACCCACAACGTCTAAGGTGCAACCAACTGCGACACCATCGACGAGCTCAAGCTCGCCAGTCACAGACCCAAGTGTCGACCTACAACCACCTCCAGCGGCTACCACCCGTCAATCTTGCCTTAAGAATAGCAACGACAACATTCCCAGGCAACGACACCAGCCCAACATCCTACGCAGGGTCAGATTCCGCCCGCTCTCCGCGGCCGGTTCAGAGGGGGGAGTGGATGTGTCCCACACGAGGTCGCTACTGACTCCACTCGGACGCCTGTGCCTTCAGCAGTGCTAACATCCACGCAGCGGGGAAATGGCTGTGGTGGCGCTCAGGTGCTGGAGGAGAAGACAGCAGCTCATAAGGCTGATCGGAGCAAACCTTCCCTTCTCCTTCCGGACGTCGACCAGCGAACTCTCGCTCTCGCGCACGCAGTCGGGTCGATTATTACAATTGCCTCGTGGCAATTCAGTTTTATAATTCCGCTCGTTTTCGACTTTGATTTTGTGCTCCGTCCTGTTGGAAATCTCTAATAATAATAAATATTGTAATTCTACCCAGTTCACGCCTATCTTCATTTCTGTTCCAACCGCTTGAAGAATTACTAAAGTATCTTTGAACTTTAAGATGAAGAGATGGTATTTGCGCATGCTCATTGAGCAGCCTGTGCACACTTCAAATTGGTAATTTGTTTTTTTACCAATTTTTTAACTAACGGTGATAATTTCAACAAATTAGATAGGGTGCAATTAGAATCGGTCCGGGTGCAGTTTTTTTATAAAAGTTTTATTCAGAAATATTGAGTATTTTTGGAGTTATCGCTGTTTGAAAATATGAAAATATTAGCATTGGTTTTTAATTTTTATTAATTAATGTAGAAGGGTGCAGATTGATGTTGTAGCGTATTTGAAGGGTGCAGTTACATACCTTCCCATTGGTATTTTTTTTTGGCTATAATTTAAATTTGCAAGCTGTGGTAAGGGGAGTAATTTTATCCTCAAGATTTATTAAAGCATTGGAAAGTGCTTACTCTGTTTTGATTTACAATAATCGATATCTTGCTTAAAATTGTTTTATATGCATTTGTGAATTGAAAGAGTTTTATTCATGTATAATTTTATAAAATTTCTAAGGTCAGTGTAATATTATATGTGATTTCTGATTAAAATTAAAATTAAAATTGATTTTTTTTTCAATATTTTCATAAATATAATCAAATTTTCAATTAATTATTCAAATTTGTTTTGAAAAGTTCTCAAAATTTAACTATTATTATAATTATAATTGAAGTGTTAATTATATTAAATTATTAGTTTGAGAACAAGTGTGAAAGAAATATAAATATTTTAATCTTGTATAAAATGTTATTGAATTGATCTAGTTTTACTTGTTTCATAAAGAACTTTAAAATAATTATTATTTTTCAATTATTCAAATTTATCTTGAAAATTCTAATAAATAATTTAGATAATTTTATGTCGTGTGTCTACCGATTTTTCCATAGATAAACAAATTATTTCTTTTAATATTATACAAATTATTTAATTAAATATTTCAAGTAAGTCAAAAAAAATTAAATAATTATTTAAATATTACTCAACTATTAAGAAATTATTGCAAGCTTAAGAAATATTGATGATTATTTAAATAATGTTTCATATCACATAATTAAAATAGCCATATATCCAAATATCATGGTTCTGGTGAACTGTTTACTATTATTCAAATAAATAATTCTTCAAATAAGTAATAGATCAAAAATTATTATATTTTATTAAATTATGATGTCTGTGGTCAGATATGAGAAAAAAATTATGCATTAATCATTAATCTTCATAATTCAAAGTTAACAGCTTCTGTATATCCCAATATTCTAATGCTTAACAGCATATTTTTAATGTTATATTAAAATGTTCTGTTACCATAAAATATTTATTACAATATTTAAGATTAAAATTATAAGAAATATGGATAGGAATGACACATTTACTATTGAGATTTTAATAAAAAATATTAGAACGTTGTAATATTTCAGCATTCTTCATTCTACAATTTTGAAAAGTTCTACCCTGTTGGAAATAATTTTTATGTTGAACCTGTTGTACGCAATTATTTATAGTTCAAAATAATTTATAAATGTCAGATTTTAGATAGGTATAACAGTTACTAACAGTTTTTTTCTGTCAGTAATAATTATATACAATTAATAATTATAGACAAGTTTGGAAATGAACCGTTTTGTCATAAAAACAATTTGCTATTAATAACAGTTATAAACAGTTTTAAATCAATTTCAGAAATGTAAATAATTTTTATGACTGTAATAAATAGTTAGTTATCATATATGATTATGAAGAATTATTTTAAACACATATATATTGTTATTATTATATAATTTTTTTGCATATAAGTACTTTTTTTGTATCCGGCATTAGCAAATTAATAATTACAGTTACTAATAAGCAGTTACTAATAAGTACAGCAAGTAACAGTTACTAATTTTTTATTCCAATAGGTAATTAGTGATAACTTTTATTTTTAGTTATTTATAGTTATTTAGATTTTTTATTTCTCAAAATAAATTTGTTTTCTTGAATAAAAATGCAAATAACTGTTAGTAATTGAAGGAAACTGTTACAATTAATTTAAAAATAATAGTTTTTTAACAGAAAATAACTCTTTATAATTGTTATATGTGTCTAAAATCTGATGTTAATAAATAGATATAAATTATAAATAATTAGTAGCAAACGTAACTTATTGATGATTTCTATTTATTATAATTTTATGCGTAAATTATTTCCAAAGGGTATTCCCCTTATAAAAAAGTGATGGATGCCATATTGAAGTATTTTATTCGTGAATTGGCTAAGATATAGTCACGTGTTGTGCTGTTACGGCCGCAAATATGCATATCGATGTGATTTCGAGTTGCGATTTTAATAATAAAAATTCATTTTATCATAATTGATACAGATAATTTTGAAGATAAGGATAATAAAAAAAGTATGCAGCATTGTTATTATTTTTACACTCATTTTATAAAACTAGCAGCGAGTAAATCGTTTGGTAAAAGCGAGAGATTATTACGTTTTGGAATTACTAGAAGTTTATTAAGCGCGCGTATCGCGCGCATGGACTTTTTAAACTTAATCAATTAACGTAATATTTAACCTATATCATAATGTATAAAATATTTAAAATATATTTTTTTTAAATGATTCTTTTATAATGATTGTGAAGTTTGCAACGTTCATCGTGAACGAAAAAATCGAAAATTTAAATATGAGGATTTGACTTCATAAATTGCTATAAATATCAAACTAACAATATAAAATACTATAGTCAGTAGTTTATTCGATTCCCAACGCCTAAAAACCACCCTTAAGACAGTTTACACACGAGCAAAGGCGAAGCTGGCTTCTATAAATTTGTGTATTAAAAAACACCACAAAATTCAGCGCTTAAAAGAATTTTATGAAGGAGAGAATAATACTCCCTACATGTGTAAAAAGTTTCCGGGGTCGGAACGCACCCTACTCACCCTGACACCCTTGCAAATCTTGGCATCCCATGCGCGCAAAGGCAAAATCAGCGCGTTTTAATTTGATTTTTCCAAAACACCCAAAAATAATTTTATCAAAAGTATTTCATCATAGAAAGCATACAATTATCTACCCGTGAGCGAAGTTTCGTGCGTCGGAACGCACCCTGTACACTCTGACACCCTTGCAAAGCATGATCATGGCGTCTCATGCGCGCAAAGGCGAAAATAGCGCGTTTTAATTTATTTATTCCCAAAGACCCAAAAATAATTTTATCAAAAGTATTTTATCATAGAAAGCATACAATTATCTATCCATGAGCGAAGTTTCGTCCGTCGGAACGCATCCTGTACACTCTGACACCCTTGCAAAGCATGATCATGGCGTCTCATGCGCGCAAAGGCGAAAATAGCGCGTTTTAATTTATTTATTCCCAAACACCCAAAAATAATTTTATCAAAAGTATTTTATCATAGAAAGCATACAATTATCTATCCATGAGCGAAGTTTCGTGTGTCGGAACGCACCCTGTACACTCTGACACCCTTGCAAAGCATGGTATCCCATGCGCGCAAAGGCAACAAAATAGCGCGTTTTAATTTATTTATTCTCAAACACCCAAAAATAATTTTATCAAAATTATTTCATCATAGAAAGCATACAATTATCTACCCGTGAGCGAAGTTTCGTGCGTCGGAACGCACCCTGTACACTCTGACACCCTTGCAAAGCATGATCATGGCGTCTCATGCGCGCAAAGGCGAAAATAGCGCGTTTTAATTTATTTATTCCCAAAGACCCAAAAATAATTTTATCAAAAGTATTTTATCATAGAAAGCATACAATTATCTATCCGTGAGCGAAGTTTCGTGCATCGGAACGCACCCTGCACACTCTGACACCCTTGCAAAGCATGGTATCCCATGCGCGCAAAGGCAACAAAATAGCGCGTTTTAATTTATTTATTCTCAAACACCCAAAAATAATTTTATCAAAATTATTTCATCATAGAAAGCATACAATTATCTACCCGTGAGCGAAGTTTCGTGCGTCGGAACGCACCCTGTACACTCTGACACCCTTGCAAAGCATGATCATGGCGTCTCATGCGCGCAAAGGCGAAAATAGCGCGTTTTAATTTATTTATTCCCAAACACCCAAAAATAATTTTATCAAAAGTATTTTATCATAGAAAGCATACAATTATCTATCCGTGAGCGAAGTTTCGTGCATCGGAACGCACCCTGTACACTCTGACACCATTGCAAAGCATGATCATGGCGTCTCATGCGCGCAAAGGTGAAAATAGCGCGTTTTAATTTATTTATTCCCAAACACCCAAAAATAATTTTATCAAAAGTATTTTATCATAGAAAGCATACAATTATCTATCCATGAGCGAAGTTTCGTCCGTCGGAACGCATCCTGTACACTCTGACACCCTTGCAAAGCATGATCATGGCGTCTCATGCGCGCAAAGGCGAAAATAGCGCGTTTTAATTTATTTATTCCCAAACACCCAAAAATAATTTTATCAAAAGTATTTTATCATAGAAAGCATACAATTATCTATCCATGAGCGAAGTTTCGTGCGTCGGAACGCACCCTGTACACTCTGACACCCTTGCAAAGCATGATCATGCCGTCTAATGCGCGCAAAGGCGAAAATAGCGCGTTTTAATATATTTATTCTAAAACACCCAAAAATAATTTTACCAAAAGCATTTTATCATGGAGAGGATACAACTAGCTATCCGTGAGCGAAGTTTCGTGCGTCGGAACGCACCCTGTACACTCTGACACCCTTGCAAAGCATGGCATCCCATGCGCGCAAAGGCGAAATCAGCCTTGTTTTAACCTCCGAGCGTATCTGTGACGTACACAAAGTCAGTCAGTTCGGTACTTTATTACTCGAAATATAGACATTGGATATGCTGTAATATAGAATTTTAAGCTGAGATGAATAAAAATATTGGTTAAAGTTATTAAATAATATAAAATAATTCAAAGAAAATTAAAATTTAAAAAAATTATCGTATCTTGTTCGATAACTTTATTTCTAAATTAATAACAATTTTTTCAAGCAGTTTTTTCATACAACATGAAAATGACAAATAAGTAGTTTTTAATACTGCAATAGTTTGAATCTTTGCGAGGTACTGTTGTTCTTGTTTGATTTGTCACGGAAATTAAGGCAATTAAGTTTTAAAAAAAGCAACTCCCATTCTCTCTCTCTCTATCTATCTATCTATCTTTCTTTCTAATGTGTCGCTGAGATTTGATTTACAGAATGTTATAAGTATTAAACTGTATCAAGTACAGTTTGATGAAATTTTTGGGATTTCGTGCCGCCTAAACTGTAGTAGTAATGTGACCTATACAAATCATAACATTGGCTGCCGTCGCGCATCTTATATTTCTCGATTTTCGTGAAGTGATTAGCCCGTTGGAATCCTTTTATAGGCCAACCAATGAAGCCAAAAATGAAGTATTTTATGACATTAATACTAACAGCAAACCGATTATGCAAATTTGTTTATTACGACGCACGAAACTTCGCTCATGGATAGATAATTGTATGCTTTCTA